GAGTGGTGGTGGAAGACCCTTTGTCCAGGGGTGGACACACACACACACACACAAAAAAAAGAGCAACAAAACAAACATAAATATAGTTAACAATTTGTTCAAAAACCATGTTCTTGTTCCGCCCTTCCGCCAAGTCTCCCATCGCCGTCTTGGGTGGCACACAGCCGATGCTCCGGTCGTTGCCATCGCAGCCGGGCCGCATGGACGCGTAGAGCTGATGCCCGGCGAAGCAATCGGTGCAGGGCGGTTCGCTGCAACCGGTGCAGGGCGGCAAACCGCAGAACTTGTCCTGCAGGGGTCGCGGGGGGGGTTGCGGTTCTGGAAAGACAAGGATGGAACAGCTGAAAACGAGGGGAAACGAGGGAGGTTGATCACCTATAGGCTATATTTCTTGGACATGCGATCAGATCAATGAGATTCGTATGACTTTTGCCACGTATTTATGTCACATGTTTCTCTCCTTTAAACAATTTGCTTTCACAATCTCTTTCTTAGGTCCTTCCCAGGTGGTGCGCAGTAGTACAGCCGCTGGAAATCCGCCAAGGTGGCCTGGTCATGCTTCACCCCCGCGATGTTGGGCATGTTGCGATACCAACTTCCAGCCTTGGTGTCCCACTTGCCGCCGCCCGCCGCCCACTCCACGACCTCCTTGCACTGTGCATTCTCCGGCGCATCTAGCGGCCCGCAAGTGGCGGTGGCCGCGCCGTTGGCGGCCACCTGCACGACCGACTTGCGCAGAGCGGTGCCGTTCTGCTTGGCGCTTCCCGCTTCCGCGACGGTGCCCGCGAGGAGGACCACCGCGAGGAGCGAGGTGAAGAGCGACATGGGGGGAGCGTTGGCGCGTTGGTGGAGTTAGAGAGCCAGTGGCTAGGGTGAGGCATGTGCTTGTGGTTATTATATGATGACTGAGATAGATATAGAAAAAGAGCAGGTTGGAGAAAAACACGACTCATCACATCTATGTGTCGTGTGGTTTGGTGCAAGACCACAGCGCTGGCGCTATGGGGCCAAAAAACATGGGGAGAAGAGACGCTCTGCGCTCTGAGTCTCTGGCGTTGTGCGAAGGAGAAACACTGGGCGCCTGAACGAAATGCCAACGAACGTGACATGAAGAAGACAAATGTGACTCCCTATCGCTCACGAGACATGAACCCGATCAGTTTGACCTCATGAAATACTGGAGTTGGTCAAAAACAAGACTCTTACGGAGGTCGTCAGGTAATGTCAGGTGCAGAAACCTTTGGTTTTGGTCAGGTCGCGGACGTAGGGGAAACGAAGCAAGCAACGCGATGTTCGATGTCGATGCTTCACCTGATTCGATTTGAATGATTGACCCCTGTGGATTCGCTCTGGACATCAAAAAAAACAAAACTCCAACAACCCTGCTAAGCTCTGGGTTCGGAGCCTCTGGGCTTCTCAGCCCCGTGGCGAAAACGGAGCCTCTCGTGGGAACAACCGCTCGGCCGATGGCTCGATCGATCGCCTGTGGAGATGCTTCGGGAGAGGCCCGCAGCTGGGAGGAAGGCACCTGTGTGCTGTCTGCGGCGAGGCGACGAAAAACCACGTGGACGCGAAGTGGAAGAAACCATATGGCCCATATATATTATAGTGGAAACCCAATGGAGTGGGAGAAGCCCAGACACTCCATATATGACGTTTTTGGTACTCTGTATGTTTGTATGCCGATCAGTTGGGGGGTGGTGTGACGGTGAGGGGATCAATATGGATCAATGTATCTTGTACATGCCATACATGGAGTGTCTGGGTGATTCCAACGAATGTCTGACATGGAATGTCATCAAACTGACCAGTCGATGAGAGGAATGTCGACATGTGTCCTATCGCCATCAGGCCGAAACTTTGACTCTGTGATCACATCTGGCAAAAGGACCCTCTTTCATGACCCCTGGTCAGGCTTCACCTGAAAATCAACCCAAACATTCCTGGCCCGCCATTGATTTAAGAGTCTTCACCGAAGAACCATTGTGTTTCTCCAAAGGATTTGACACTATACCACGTCTGGGACCCTTTGGACACATGCTCGTCAGCCCTCGGACGTTCCGGGTCCACGAACCGAACAGGAGGAGGTTCCACGAACCGAGGAGTTGGGAGGTTCCACGAAAATCCTTTGGCTGTGCGGTTTTGCTGATGGTTTCTATATCAAAGATTGGAATGACTTCATTTGGGGTCTCATCAGCAAGCTAACTCTCGTAGTTGGAAGGTACTATAGAGATCTAGGAAGTCAGTACTATATGTTATACAATTATACGCTACAACATACTATAACCATCACCCTTTCCACGATCATCCAAACCTTTCCTACAAACGGTACAAGGTCTGGTGGTGCGTCCAACCGCTGAACAGGCTTCCCTCGCCTCGGTGGGCACGGGTGATGCCCGGTCGGGCACCTACAAGGCCGGGCCAGGTCGGTGCATGCCATGTCCGAAGACTTTGATGGTTGTTTTGGGACAAACACCATTGTCATGTGAAACAACATGAAACAAACTTAATATGATTGAAGCACCAATCCTCTGAGTTGTGCTGTTGAAGATCTGCGTGACCCATGCTATTGTTGAAAGGCACAACATTTCCACACCATCTCCAACCTTCGTGGTGGAGGTTGGCGGTGGGGGCAAAGCAATGGCGTTCTGCCTGGCACGCACAAAGGCACCAAACTTCAGCACCACGTGGGTGTGGAGCTCCTCCTTAGGGAGACCTCCTTCTGGGCGTTCCGACAAGGAGTTCGGTTCGGAACATGTAGACCAGTCAACCCAGCGACCGGGACGAGGCAGGGCGTCTCCCTATGATATATAATACACACCCATTTGGCAAGCACCACTTCGGTGCCTTTCTAAATAAAAGGACCACGAAGAACAATGTACATGACCTGTGACCTTGTCGTCCCTGGACCACGGAATGCTGGAGGGGAAAAGAATCATCTCTGATATGGCATGATTTTCCGAATATTACAGACTACGAGGATGGCCCCTGTAGTCTTTGCACTGGGCTCAAACATCAAAGGCTGGGTTAGTGATGGTAAATTAATGCATGGATGATACTATAATGAGCACCACGTCCGCGGTTTCGGCGAAGGTGACTCTTTTTTGGCTTCTCATGGCTGCGACTCTTCACCTTGGCTTCCACTGCGGCATGGACGATGATTTCATTGCTTTTGCTCGAAAAGGAAAACAAACCAAATATGAATGATGGGGAGTGGTGAGTCATTTAGATGCATGGGAATGTTCCTCATCTGCGAGACATCTGCGAACGCAACGTGTTGCTCGCGACGTCGCTTTCCTTGTGTAGGGGCTCGATCCGCCTCCGGACCACGTTGCAAGTGAGGTCGAAATCGTCGTTTTTTGGGTTTGGCCATTCAGATTGCTCAAATGTCACTCCGAACCCATCTTTTGGAGGAGTCCTATTGTAGTCCCTATTGTGGCGCCTATTGGGTTCACAATCGATTTTGAACCCAACAAGTCTCCATCTCTCTTCTTTGAAGCCAGCGGCCAGGATCTTCTTCTGGTTTCTCCGGCTGCTCGGACCTCTCCTGGCAAACATTCACACTCGGTGGCAGAAAGCAGCACCGGGTGGTTTGAGGAGATTCCATCCACGAAATGATGAAACCTGAAGTTGTTCTTAAATAACTGAAACCCTGCAGCCTACAGAATCCAAGAACCACATCCAAGAACGCACCTCAGACTCGCTCTTGGTTTCAACTCTCGTCGTCCTCCTCCTTTGGTGAATAAAGCTGGTTGCCACTAACAAAAGCTTATGCTTGTTGCCGCAGTGGTTCCAGCTGTCTTGGTTTCAACCCCCCCACAAACACAGCGCCTCCCCCTCCGGCACAGCTGGCGCGAAGGCCGAGAAATCCGCCTCCCACGCCGCAGCGTCTGGCGCTGCTGGCGCGGTGGGCGCTCCCGTGGCGGCCGTGGCCGGTTGCGGGTCGTCCACTGGAGGTTCCTGGGGGTTCCCGGGGGGGAGGAAGTGTGGGAACTTTTGGAAGTGTGGGAGCCTGTTTCAGTGCTCTTTTAAAAGTTCAAAGACTGCAGTAAGAAAACGTGCTAACACTTATGCTAACATGCAAAGGGCCGGCTGTGAGAAAGACAAACGATAGAAACCGCACATCAGTCCGCTCTTGCTATGACTTACAGACTCATTTCCGTGACTCAGCAGAACTTCTCCGCAGAATCATGCAGCAGGCAAGTCTTTCTCGATGGATTTCGGGAAACTCCGATGGAAGATGCAATGTGGATCCTTCTCGTGCAAAGCTCGAAGCAGCCGAGGCCGTACCACAGCACATACCGAACTGCCATGAGCTCGCGCGGGGCGTTGGGTGGAGCTTGGAGAGTTTAGAATATGGGAAAAAATGGATAAAAAAGGCTCTATTATACCTAGCACTTCCAACGGGTGCCCAATGGAGACCTGTAAGTAGGGTAGGGTAGTCTATTGGATACCCATTGGATGATCCTGGTACGTGCTATATTTCTAGTACCTGTCTGGCTGAACATGTGACTGCCACCCAGCTGCTCCAATCAAAACTGGCCGAACACAAACCTTCAACGGCAACCTTCAGGTTCACTCGTCGATGTCGTCGGCTGCCTCAGCCTGGAGCAAGTCCTGCGACTTCTTCTTCCAATGGTTGGCTGCCCTTGCTTCCACATAGCTGCACAAACGTTGCATCTGTGAGATGGATAGCCCCATCATGGATTCACCATCTTGTATCTTCCTGCTTTCAACCACACCATCTTGGACTTGCGCAGCCCCACCCATGGGCAGCGGCTTGCCGAGCTTCAGCTCGAAGAAGGCAATGAGGATGTCAAATTCTTTGTTCTGCTTGCGCAAAGTCAGGATCTGCATAACATAGAGATGTTCCAGCAATCCATTGTTCAGCCTGTAGTCACATATTCCCTCAGTATTCTTTTTCATAGCCTTTGCCCTCTTCAAGGCACTGATGACTTTGGTTGGAACATTGTCTTCCTCTAAGGTCTTGATCACGTCATCTAGGTGTTCTTCTTTAACCCCATTGTATTCCATGATACTCCCATGGCCCTCAGAGTGGTCAGTCTTGAGGTCCACGCCTTCTTCCTGCAATTTCACCATTTCTTTTTCAACTTCACCATCGCTGGCCGTAGATTTGACAAACCGGTTTTTGCACCACTTCCTCAAACGTTCTGAAGCTTCCTCGGTGATGTGAGTGGTGAAGTGATTGAACTTCTTGAATGCTTTCCCCAGCATGCCATCTTCGTTCTCTGGCATTCGCACACGCAAAGGACCGCGCTGATTCTGAGGAATGTCGAGATACTTCCTGAAATTGTCTGCGTTCACTACTTTGACCACTTCACGGTCCAAATCGAATTCCCCTTCCATTTCCGCCGTGCGATACTTGCTTTTGATTTGTGGAATACTCTGCAGGTACGTCTCCGAGGAATCATGTTGAGAAGGCTTCCAGAAGAGTGGCCCGGCAACTCGATCTTGACCTCACCAATGGCTTCCAGCTCTTTAGTCTGTAGACCTAATGTCTTGGCCAACGATCCAAAGAGCCGCTTGGCCGCAACGAGCTCGGACATCACGCAAAACCGCCGCACGGGGAGAGCGAGTGGAGGACCGCGAAGACCCAGCTGGGATGTCAACGGCTTCTGGGCAGCAACCAGAACTCGCCGAGCCATGCTGCGAGGGTGCACCGGTGGACGAAGATCGGAGAGTGGAAGCTCTGAAAGCTAGAAGGGCTGCCCAAGACGAAGCTTTTTATGTCTGCAGATCCGTCGACGGCGCAGCGAAGCGATGAAGACACACTAAACATGGTAAAAACTAAACCTCCCACAACCGCAATTACACATCTATAGCACATTTTTGGTCCCAAACCGTCTTTGACCCCACTCTCTGCGCCGCCTCCGCATCCCACGGTCCTCCCCCAAGAGTCGAAAGCGCTCCACCTCGCTGGACAGCCGCACCGCCGTGGGCCGCTCCGCCGGCGACCGCGCCAGGAGGCCCCGGAGCCACGTCCTCGGCGAGGTCGACATGATGACATACTGACTGGCATAATGATTGACTGGCTGTTCTTGGATATCATTGGAGATACTGCCGTGAAGTGTCTGGATTTTTTTTGGGGGGGGTGTTGGTCAGTTTGACCTCATTTTACGATCAAAGAAAAAGACTACTAATTACTGAGGTTGGTGACTCGTGGGATGTTCGGTGTTCCGGGTCTTTGGACTGGCCTGAGATGTTGTGGCCTGGACCCAGGTCGTTCTGAGGAGCAACAGCTACACAGCTATGCCGGCGGGAACCAAAGGAAACAGAACTGCAAGCAAGGGAAGACAAGCAACACAAATTAAGCGTTGTACCAAGGACCCCTCCAAACATGAGACTCAACAGAAAGAATGGCAAACCCTGTGACCCTGTACTGTATACAGTCCGTTTGTTGCTCGCATTGGTTGGCACTGTACCACTGGTCCCGCGCACCACACTCAGCCTTCTCTCTCAGTCTGGACCTCCGAGCGGCAGCACCGCGGAGGAGTAGTGTTCCTTGGCCTCGGGCGGCAGCCGATAACTCGCCGTGATGTTCCCGCAGGTGGACTCCATGGGAAAGGGATGCTGTCCTCAGATGCTGTCCAGGCCAGTGAAGCGTTGGAGTCTGGAGTTGCCAGGAGATAAAATGCAAAAATAGCACTAGCTCGAGCGTAGGTGCAAGACCTTCCAAAGAATCAAGATCTCAAAACATGGAGCTAAACATACGCCAAAACATACGCCTATACAACTGTGTGTAAAGCTACCTCATTCGCTGCATGTACAAAGAACAGTTCATGGATTCCTGCCGCCTCACACGTCATGACCAACATCAGAGCGGACATCACTGTTTCACCCCCAAACCCCAACGTCTCCTGTCATCATCGCGAAGAGAATGCAGCCTCAACCGCGTGAACCGCGTGCCGCTCGCGAACCGCGTCACGAAGCGCGTCGCGAACCGTGAAGCGGTGGGCCCCCGAAGGCCGCCCGGTGTGGCCTCTGCGAGGCACCTTTTGGGGGGTTCCGAAGTGGACTGAGCAAGGACTGAGGTCCAAGGACATTCGATCCTGCTGGGGTTTGGGTGATTCATCCAGATTGCTATACAAGCTTGACCCATGGTCTTGAACCATGAAGACCACGCGACCTCCACGCGACCTCCACGCCGCTCCCGCCTAGGGCGAAGAGGTCCACCTTGGGGCCGATCTTCCATCGGAGATACACGTCCGCGATCTCCGGTGCGCCTCGACGGCGCTCGCTCGACGCGCGGTCGCAACGCGCGAAACGCGGTTCGTTCGGAGACGAGACGCGGTTCGTTGGGAGGTGTGGCGAGACGTGGAAGGTCTTGGATTTTGGGGTGGAAAAAGGGACTTGCTTTAGAGGTTGATTTGGCATGATACTTTTGGCAGAACTACTTGTCCCTATCGACAGTCTTCTTTCTGATCAGGCTGATACCATGAAGAAAACCGTGGCTGTAAGTGTTTGGGTGGGCTGTTGTAGTGCAAAATCCCTATACTATAGGAAAGAACAATGGTGGTTCGGTATAAACCATTAAATTCATGGTGGGACAGGAAGCCTATAGGAGAATCAGTATACTATTTCACCAGTTTCAGCTGACTTGAAATCTCCATATACATTAAACCAAGTTGCGAAACATGGGCGTGCACCGCCCATGGATAAACTCCTGTGCTTCCCAAAGTGCCTCAAAAGGTCGGGTCTCACCCGGTTGAGAGGCGGACCTGGAGTCGGTCCGGACTGAATTCGAAGGATGACACACCCCCCCGACTCGAACTACTTGGTCTCTATTTTCTGGTGGCTGAAATGGAGGCTTGAAGTGGCAGGTGACATGGCAGTGAGGGTGCTGGTAGGAACGCTCAATGTGGCGGTTGAAAGTCATTGGATGTGGCTCAAAAGAACATAAGACAAAATCATGTTCTCTTTCAGTCTCTTTAGTGATCTGGCTGCCAAGCCCCCCCAAACAACCAAAAACCAAATGACGGCACAACAAAAGCCAATCCCCCAAAAAGAAAAAAAAGCATCGATGCTCAGCACCCTTCAGCAAACCCCAGCACTTGAGTCGAGTCTCCTTCTTGTCGGCGTTGGTCAGGTCGAAGGTCCTCTCGCTGGCCGAGCCGAAGTCGCCCAACTTCCAAAGGCCGTCGTTGCCCAACAGCAGATTCTCGCCTGAAGAGAGGTCTTGGTGAGCCGTCTTGGACTGGGTTCGGGCACCATTACACCAAGATATTGGTCCGTGAAGGCATTGCAGTCCAAACCTCTCAATTTAGGACAATGTGACAATGAGTGCACATGCGTATAACTCGCGTTTTTGCGTGAAACTTCCTGAAGAGGTGTCGGAGCCATGCTGAGGGGTTATCAATATTGGATAGGATTGGGATGATGCAACATCTCTTCATCAATGGTTTTCTGGTGGAAAAAGTTGCCAAATCGCAGAGTTGAATATTTGCTAAATGAGAGGGCGGTGAAACCACTTGTAAACATGATTGACATATTTGCTAATTAAGCCCCAACATCTGACGATGATTGAAGATGCTTCGCGCAATTCCAAATCAAAAGGTTGTATCAATCGTCTATAGTATACATGAAATCCGCTTCTGATTAGTTAAATCATATTAAATCCACTTCTGACTTAAATAGATTCAATCGGATTGTGTTCACTTGTTAAACCACTTCTGCTTTGTTTTCACTTGGCGCCACTCTCGTGAGCCTTTGTCGGAACCGACCTGTCTCCGTCACGAAGACGAGGGGCTCTTCACATCGTAATGGATCATGCCCAAACGCGTCAAGTACACCAGAGCCTGTGCAGTTGCTCCTGATCGACCGCTCGATGCTTTGTCCAGGGGCGGCTGGCCAGGCCGGAGAGTTGGGCCTGGTGGAGCTGTTGCCCTCATTGGTTGATACCGTTTTTGCAGAGAAGTAAGACTGGGCCCAAGACTGATATCAGAAACTTCTTGCAACGTCTTGGACAGGTGGAACGCTTGAAAGAACAGACTCCTCTGAGTGTCGACATAGCGTGTCGACATGAGCGTGGAAGCGCAGCGTGCACCGTGCCGGGATCAAGCGCCAAGGGGGTTCAGTTCAGTTCAGTCTCCCAGGTCGCAGCTCCTAGCACCGCGAGGATGTCTTGTTCTTCAAGACAAGGACAGCAGTACCTGAACAACAGCGGCAACAACGTGACATCTGGCAACACACGGCATCGTCCTGCAACGTTTCTGTTACAAAAAGACACGTTCTGTTACGGCAAATCTCTGGCAAACAAAGTGATATCACCAGTAAGACTGATGGATGAAAGATATTGAACGGTCAAATTCATCCAGTAGAACAATTCATTGAATGTCCAAAGATATAGATCAAAAACCATACTCAATACATCCCAATACTCATCGGACGTCGGATTTCAGGATCTGGCTTAGAGGAAAAAAGGATGCATGCTGCCATGAACCTCAGCACCAAATCAAGCGGCTCAATGGATGATCCGAAGACGTCCAATCGAACGAACAAACATCGGGAAACATAGGGACCACCGGCCCCCCCCCCCAATAAAAAAGTCCATATGTATACGTACTCTTCCAGGCATGTCTCTGGGACTCCGTATTCGAATGTATAGTTGAATCTTCGATCATGCACGGCTACGTACCGAAACATCTCGAACAAATATGGAACCAACGCTCAGCCAAAGGCACGGCGTGGTCCGTGCGTCTCTCTTCCCTCCCGCTTCCATCGCCGCTTCCAGGTGGGACAGGAGTGTGCCACCGGGACAAAGCTCCTGAGGCAGCTGGGCGGTCACTCCCAGGTGAAAAATCCATAAACAAACCGTCTTGGTGCATGAAGAGTGCATGAAAACCAGCAAACATGACATAACACAATGGATTTCCTGAACTACCCGAAAATGAAAGGGATGGTCCTTCAAAACGGAAACCCAATTTAGGCAACATGGGCATGGTTCTCCCAAGAGCATTGGTGCCCAACATGTTCGTATCAAAACCACTGTCAAAACCTTGTAGCAATATAAAACCAAGAAGAACATGTCTATGGCAATATAAAACCAAGAAGAACATGTCTATGTTTGTTTCATTTTCCTCAGGGATCCAAGTACCTTCTCAGGTACGGTGATTGGAGACCCATGGAGACCCTGTTATGCAGGTTTGGAGGGTCCAAGTACCTTCTGAACAAAAAGGTACTTGGATCCCTAGGTTTGTATACATCCCTGAAATTGTTCAAGGCCAAGTCGGCAACTGTGACAGGACCTTTTTCGGACAAGTCACGAAGATGTAGATGGCTTCAGCCGATGCGCCCGAACCTGTGTTGGACTCCGTGGAGGAACAAACCAACACACCATCGGAGAGTGTAACGGATAGCGTGCAGTCCAAACTTATACATTCGGACAAGTTAAACCGTCGAAAACTAACCATGGGAAATATGTCCATCAACAGGCTGTTTCATTTTTTGAAGTGAAAAGAACGATGAATCGGCGTCTTCAGTTTTGAGATCCCCTAGGCCGAACACGTCTCACCCCGACTCACGATGAATCAGGCGTCAACAGCCCACGTGCTGTTCATCAGATCGGGCCTCGGAAGATCTGGGCGCCCTGGAAGTGAACAATGTGCGGATGGTCGCACAAACTGCCCAAGAGATCGATCTCCACCTCACAAACTGCCGAGGTTAGTCGCACATAGCGCAACATTTGAGGTTTAAAAGTTTAAAGCATAAAGCCAACATGCGCAGCTAGCGGGAACACGTGGAGTTCTCCGACACCCACCGTCGGAGAAGAACTAAGCAACAACTGGCCAGCGAAAAGGGCATCTGCTGGGGGGGGCAGGTCCGGCCTTGGCTTTTTCCAGTGCCTCCGGGTCCTGCAGCAGCACTCGCCGAATCGCCAGCCGTTCCTGGAGGACGGAACATCCATCGGTGAGAGCACACGTGCACCCGCCTGCCCAGTGGTCCTGCGGCCTAGATAAGCGTCCTACCCCCCCCCCACACCGTCCGGATCTGTGAAGATATCACCACGATAATCCACGATACTATACGCTTAGTCAGGCCCCAAACCATTCACATCCCGTAGACGATCGATCGTAGACGTTTTTGGGATATGCGGGTCATACCTGCGACGTTGGCAGCATGTGGCGAACGGCCGCAAGGATGCCCATCCCGGTATGGTTTGCTTATTGATTGATAGCATGGGACTTAGTTCTGACAGCATCACCCAATGGCCAATGGCACTCGGAACCATGGCCAATTGCACTGGGATAGGCAACACGTGTTAACGCCGTCCAATCCAAGACCATACATCTCTTCATCAGTGAAGCATCGAACAACGCAACATACCAGGATACCGCATGGCGGTCAAAGATTGGAACTGCACAACTGGCTTCTTCAGCGTGTGGGTTAAATTTCCTCATAATGTGGTCCAATCTGGCAACTGTTGAAAGGTGCATTCTTGCTATCAAAGAGTGGTTTATAGTCTGAACACTTCAGCTATGACCATGCCTGAGCAAAATTCACGTGGTCCAGGTGTGTCTGAAGAAACCACCCCAAATCGACATCTTCTTGACGTCGACAAAGTCGAAACGACAGACTCGTATGCTTCTCAGGCTACATTGAAACGTATATATGTCTCAGGAGCAATTTTTGCATGGTGTTCTTTGCCGCCCGAGCATGGGCCTTTGGATTAGATATCTGATGCTATTCCGCGAGCGTGGATGAGTATGTTGTGTCATGCACTGTCTGGTCTGCACCACCAAGCACCAAATGTGTCTGAAGAACTGGAACAACGAAGCCGGTGGCAGAAAAAAAACACGTGTCTCTGATCCCAAGTGGCCCCGAAGAATTAGAATGAAATACCGCAAAAAAAAAACACATGTCCAAATCACTTGAATCAGCCCCCAAAAATCAATATAGCACTCAGCATCCAAACACACATCTGATGACTAAATGCTTTGTGGTCTTGAAGAAACGAAGCTCAGTTCCAACGCCTTTTTGGTCTGCTTGGCCGGGGGCGGTTCGGTCGTCGTTTGTCGTGTTCGGATCGCAGTCCCCGCTGTCGGCATCGAGGCCAGAGTAGACGTAGGCAAAGCCACCGTCTGCCAACAACTTCTGCTGTTGGATCCTGCCATCGTCTGCGGAGAAATTCAGAGGTCAAAATTCCATGTGAAGATAGACCCCAAAATGGATATCTCTATTTGGGGATCACTAGGGCCGTGTAAAAGGACTAGGGCCGTAGATGGCCCGGGCAACAATGGACTCCAACGACCTTCGTGAATCGAAACGAAGGCCGGCGGGGGGGAGACATAGATAGAAAAGTGATTTCTCCCTAAGACATGTGACATGTGTTTCTGGCTATGTGGGGACCTCTATCTATCCAAGCCTGCAAGTGGGTGGTAGGAGCAGGAATCCAGTGAAAGATAGATAGTGAAACTAGTCATGACGTTTACTGAGAAGATCAGATAACCATGGAGGAGGAAGCTGATGTCACCCAACATATCCCAACATATTCCAACACCCCACGTGGCACACAGCAAAAAATCACCAAACCACCCACCCACGGGCGTGGGTGGTTAGGCACCTGCGGCCAGCCACTTGGAGGATGGGCTTCTGTGGCACCTTCTCCTTGACCGCTTGCGCCGCACCCAAGAGCCACTGCATCACATGGCGCGGAACCGATCGCGATCGATCGCGGGAAGAACCAACGCGGCGACTTGCTGGGTGTTTTTTCTGACAGTGTCCAGTCCCGGGAGAAGTTGAAATGAAGCGGAGGAAACCTCAAACATATATTGGGTGTGAAGTTCGGTGAAGAGCTATAGAACAAATTTTGGCCTGAGTTTCTCAGTCCAGTTTTACTGGACAGCAAAGTGTCATCTATCTTCTCAGTCAAATGGGGGGCGGATCATCCTCATTGCTTCGAGTCCAAAGTGAAATGATCCAATTGGTTTAGCAATCGCGGAAAAAGACCAACCCATACGGCGCCCTTAGCAGCTACACTGGCACATCAATGTCAGAGAGTTCTTGTGTCAGTCAGTTCTTCTCTGACACATCTCAGCAACTTCTGCTCTTTCTTCTATTCAGCTGACGAGCCGGAAAAAGCCGCGCAAAAGAAGCTGGAACATGGCTAATGTGATCCTATAGAATCAACCAAGCCTCCAGAACTCGTGGAGAGTTCATCAAATGGCCCAGCTTGACAGATTCTTCTTCGACGTTCAGCTGTGTTCCGATCACCGACGATCACCAAGTTCTCTCCATCCGAATCCACCGATGATCGGCCCTCTCCAAAACAGCATCACAGTAGTGCCATCGTGACAGACGAACTTTGATTGCCGATGGCATGGACCCCGGTCAAGGGATATGCCAGCAGCACCGAGCTTCACGCAAGTGGTGCAAGTATTGAAGCCTGAGACTGCGACCAAAGGCGGACAAGCTCATTGTCATTTGTTCATCGCCCCTGACCCATTTGGACCAGAGACTGGCAGCAATCTGAGAGGCAACAAAAAAGGCAAGAACGCCTCCATTTTGAAGAATCCTTTTCGTGACCCTTAGGAGGCTTCAGTGACCTCAAACCAGGTTATCAAAAGGTCACTTTGAAGAACCAGGCTCTATTTATCACGCCTTCAGGGTGTTAAGAAACACTGTTGAAGACATGAATGAAAGTTTGAAGAATTGTTACTGGTAGCTTCTTGCTACTAGTAGTAATGCCCTTGTTAGATGCCCTATGCAGGTGCATTAGGCCGACGGGGAGACCTGACAATCCTCTCATGTAAGCTCCTGACTGCTGTTGATGATGCTGCTGCCGAGGAGTCAATGGCTTGCCATCTGGCAGTTTTTGCGGACCAGGGGAGGAGTCAGCAGTCCAGGTAACGAGGTAACTAGTCAGTTATGAGTCTGATCTGCTTCGATCCACAAGTCGATAGAGGGCACAACGGCAGTTGCTCCGTTGCTTCGCATCTGGACCCTGCTTGGATCGCTTGCAAGAGGTGTCGACATAAACATCTCCCTTGAGAGCCTCTTTCCCTCATCGGCTCAGAGGCCCTGACTTACCCAGTGGGTAACAAAAAACAATGAATGACGAACCCACAGCGCCCCTGGCATATCCAAAACATACTGTCCCTCGGGTTCCAGTACCTCCTCAGAAGGTGTTTGGACCCTCCAAACCCACCCCAAACACCTTCTCAGAAGGTACTTGGAGCCCTAGGGTGTATCAGTTTGTCCTTCACCTTTCCCACCCCTTCGTCACAAACTCATTGAATTCGACTGCCTGACAAAGACTCACATAGAGCGTCCAGCTCCTGAAGATGTTCAGCAAGGCTGCATATCCAAAAAAAACACAAAACAAACCCACAAATCGGCAAGTCCTCAGTGACACCACAATAGATCGTACTTAAGAGAATGGCTCACCTGTTCTGTAGTGCAAATCCTTAGTAACACAACAATGATGCTTCTGATTCAAGCCTCTTAAACTAATGTTGCAAACAGGATCTGTACACACGGATCATGGTCTGGGGCCGGGGTCCTGATCGCTGGCTTTCACCATGGCTCTCGCCTTCTTCGGCAAGACTAAACGCCCTTCCAAGCGCTCACAAAGCGCTAACCTCGGACGTTTTTTCTGTCAAACCAAAAACGCCGAGAAGACAGAAGATGCATCCAAGCCGTTTTAGCACTGTTCATACATGGTCACTGATAGAAACAAACAAAATAGATCTTAAAAGAAACACACAAATAACAACAAACAAACAATCAAACCAGTTCAGAACCTGAGGCACCCCACAAACTTTCCAGCTCCAGTTCCTGCAATCGCGCCTCAGCACCCGGACCATTTCGCTCTAACTCGGTCGAGTCGAACTCGGCCCGCTGAGCTTCCGGCGATGAGGCGTGGGGGCGCGTTGGGAATGGTGGGCGCCTCGAGGTCCAACGAGATTAGGAGGCGAAATGGGGTTCTTAGAAGAAAACACGGGAGGCGCAGAGGTGTGATGTAAGATACTGTCCCAAGTGCATCCCAGTTGCCACTATATAAGGAACCAGGGATTCTAGGTCTATGGCTTTAGTCTTTGGAACCAACTGGTTACCAGCTATAGTGGTAACTGGATGCCCTGGGGTCTATAAGATGCGTAAAAGATGTGTAAGTTTTTTTTTGGAAAGGGGAGTGGCAGGGTAGATGGTGGGGGAATCCTTCAAGGGAACTGCTTTACTTGTGTTTCACTTTAGTTGATAGCTTCCTCACTCCCATTGAAACGCCGCTCGCCGCTTTTTCCCGCAGTGTTCACGCCTGGGCTGAAGCTGAGCCCATCGCCAGACCTCTCCTGGGGCCACGTCGTTTTAGCCCAAGTCTTTTTTCCGTCAAGCTCCTCGTTGGAAGACCTCCCCCAAACAAAATTGGCACAGTCAGAAAGACCAAACCTCCACCTCCACAAATTGTCTTTGTGCATAGCTCCCCACCAATTGCATGTTATGAAGTTCGGATGAAAGAAGTTCGATGAAGATCATTCCTTTGTCTTTCTTCGATTCTTTTTCCACCCTGCTTTTCAGGCCCCAAATCGGTTTCCGGGTCCGGAACCGTCCGGTCCGTGAAGTCGTGATCCAAAGAGTTGAGGGCTTTCTCTAATTCTCCGAGGTCATAAAACAATGGAAGTGGACAAAAAACATCCGATGAAGTCACTAATTACTTGTTTTTGTTTGTAGAGAGAAACAGGTCTTCCCTGCTGAAATCACTGAAGGCCAGCAGTCACCCGCCCACATCCGCCCAGCCCCTCCATGGTCTCCTCTGGTAATCGCTACGGAACCTAGGGGCCTCAAAGCGTTGGCAGGGCTCGGAGCAGGTCTGTTCCTTTTTGCGGAAAACGAGTCATGTCCTAAAACAACCCACCACGACTGAACTGAACTTCCGTCTGCCAATCCACATGCGTTCCTTCCAAACACCTCTCTGATGGTGCTTCCTTTTTCTGTCTTGGAAGCCTTGTACAAGTACCAATCGGCTGTACGTCTCAATGTCAATGTCTGCTGTGTGCCCGACAGAGACTAAAGCCGCCTCCGCGCGACCAAAGGTAGGCGCGAGAGAAACGCTATGCCGGGGCAAAACCGTCCGGGGCAAAACGGTCTCAAAGTGGTGGATCAAGTGATTTTTGTGGGGAACATGTGGTGAACTCCCCCAAAATTTCAAGCTTAATTACCATCAAAGAAGCCTGCTGCAGCCTTCATGAATGTCATTCACTTCATCATGCCAAAGGTGTCACCCCTTTCCACCTCTCTTTCACTCGGCTTCACTCCAAGGGTACATCCTCTTGGCCGATCCACCCAGCCCTTCACCGCACAACACCCTCCAGCGCCTGTGCAGCTCGCGGGTGTCCACATTTCCGACAAAAGTGGAGATCGTTCAGGAAGCCGGCACCGCAATGGGAGCACGTCACTTCCTGCCCCGCGATATCAGCGAAGAGCGAAGCCGCCGGAGATTTTGTCCCCACTTCTGTCGACCAGTCTGAAGGTGAGGAAATCTCTTGTTGAGATGTGGAGAACATTTACCTGAGGCAATTCACCGGTTGGCAGGCCACTTAGTTGGGCTAAACCCCCTTGTTCGGTTGGCAAAGCTTCACCGTGTTTCACGGTCAAATTCAGGTCTTTCAACGTTTCCGTTGAAGGCCATCCCTTCTGGGTTGGCCATCCCTAGTGGGATGGTGGCCATTGCAAGTAGGTTGGAGGCCATCGCTCACGGTCTTTCAACTCTTCACTCCAGGCACTCCTCCGGTACTCCAGGCAGTGGCGTGGGCCTGAGCGGACTAACCATCCTTTGACACCCGAGAGCGCTCGGTCGAAGGAGCCCCAACGAGTCGGACCCTGAGTCGGCAATGGCTGGGGCGCAGCCATCCGGGCGGCCCAATCCCCAGAGGTCTCTTCGATCTCTTCAACGTCCGAAGGACCGAATGCGTTTTTCCCAACGACTTCGTCACAGATCGAAAGGGTCATGGGACACGAAGGATGTCATGGGAACTCCTCAGAAGGTCACGAAGTCTTCAGGAAATCTGGCATACCGGCGGCATACCTAGATCTTCCAAGGGTGCAAGATTTCTGAACTGAACTGAAGGGAACACTCCACGGGACTGTCAGTCCGGACTGCCTTCAAAACGGCCAGGGCTATGGCAGTCCCAGACAGGTCCTGTCTGGTTTCGTTTGCCTTAGCATCCCATCCCAACTCGGTGGCCGTGCATCTGGGGCTGAAGATATGACTTCTTCGCACCTGAAGATATGAAGTCTGCGGAAGGAAGGTGAGTGGTGCAGAGACGTGCCGGACAGAGACTCCAGCTAGGATGACAGGGCCAATAAACCCTTGTGAAGGATCTCAGTGGCCGCTCAGTGGCCATACATTAAACCACCATGTATGTTTTTTGGTCGGGACTGGGAAAACCCGGGTATTTGCCTATCACTCACCGCGGGTCAACCATGACTATTTGCCAGTCCCATGGAGGACAAGGCACTTGATATCGTACGCACGATCAGTATTTCCCCGTTAACGTCGATGTCTTTGCCGCCAACGAGGTCGTGGGTCATTATACGGTATACGACCCTCCAACTTACGAAAGATGGAAGTGGGACACCCAAAAACCCTATATGCTTTACACTCATGGGTCGTTCCTGCGAAAGGCGTGTCGTGATCTTGTTCGGACCTGACAGGTCTCCGCCGACCACCTGTCAGACTGACTCCGCGGACACGAGACGGCGCCCTATCCGGTGGAAGCATCGTATTCTCAGCATCGGCGCTTGGCTGAAGCTTGGCGAGGTCGTCGTTGTCCAGCTTTTTCGTGGACAGCTGAACTCAGCAGCACTCACCCAGCTTGGTCTGACGCCAGGGAAGGAACTCTTCATCTGTTCCGTGGAACTCAAGAGTGGATAGGTTTTGTTGGGGGGGCCAAGGATTTAATTACATCGACTCATCTAATTCATGTCTACCCAGACGCTCCAAACAGCCCTTGGTCCCTCAAAACCTAGGGATTTGAGACCCCAGACCCCTCCATATGAGGGTCCGACCCTTCCATATGAGAGCCCATGAGCGTCTGGGTATACAGTCTATACAGTTTCGTTTCGAACACAAGGTCTTCAAACCTTCTGACGACTTGTGTCTTCACACCTCATCTGGGCCCCATGTCGACCAAATCAGGCTGTCAAGCACACCCTGATTTGAACCAATTTGGCCTGAACGGTTGTGAACGGAGCACCTGTCGCCGGAAAGGAAGGGTACAGTTCACAGAGTCACATGGAGTTGGGTTTTGCTCGTCCCCTCCGGCCGCGGATGTGACGTGACGTTCGGGGCACCGACGACCTCCTTCCTTCCTCCGTTCGGGTGAACCGGCACCCTGAGCGACATGTGACTCCTGGTTCACAATCATACCCAAACACTCCATGGGACTGCCATACATGCTGCCCCATTGACCCCCCAAAACCACCCCAACTGATCGGAAAATATGGCAGTCCCACGGAGTGTCTGGCGACATGATCTGTCCTGACGATGAGCTGGTGTTTTTTTTCGTGCCCGATCTGGGCTCGTGGCGCATGCCCGTTAGGGCCCAGCCTGCCCCGTTTGGGCGCCGGTGCACCAACGATGTTCCAATTGGGAATCATAGCACGATTCACAGGGGGTCAATTTGGTACCAATACAGTAATAGCGATGGCCTCCAACCTAAGAGCGATGGCCTCCCGCCTAATAGCCAATCTTCTATTATAAATACTTAATCCCATTAGCAGTAACGTTGCAGGCAGACTTCTGCAAAGTAGTGATGATCTTTTACCGACTGTTACTGGTAATGGGCAGCCCAACTGGGAGTCATGTTTTCCACCAGGCCGGAGTTGACTTCATGAGTCCATAAGTCATGACTCTCAGGGTCGTCCCAGCTATGTTGATCACAGGAGCTTAGGATCTTGGAGGCCATCACTACTGGGCTGGAGGCCATCGCTACTAGGTTGGAGGCCATCGCACTTAGGTTGGAGGCCATTGATACTATACGTACTATAGGTTGGAGGCCATTGATACTAGGTTGGAGGCCATCGCTCTTAGGTTGGAGGCCATCGCTCTTAGGTCGGAGGCCATTGCTACTAGGTTGGAGGCCATCGCT